CGGGGACAGAAAAGGGAGGGAGAGAATCGGTGTTCATCGACGGGAACTGAAAACGTGCAAAAGAGCGAACGCGTGGCCAGGTTTGTAGAGAGTGGGTACACGAAGGGTACGCCGGTAGACGTACACACCTGCCTGCTTGCCTGCCGCAACCTCAATGGGCGTCGGGCGCCCAGGAGAATAAATTAACGAGGTGTTTGTCCGCTACCACCACCCTTTTCCCAAGCCGGATTAAAATCATCCTGTCTTTAATAATTACGCCGACCGAATGCGTTAAATGAGGCGCGCGACGCGACGCGTTTCCCACACTCCCTTTTTCATGCTGTTATTTACAGCTCTGATTTACAATGGGCCACCACCGAACCACGCAATACGCGCCAATTATTCCCTAACATTGTACCATCTCAGAATGGAACAGACATAAAACGCGTCGTGTGTTGGCAAAGTTTGTGTGTCGCGTTGAAAGCGAGGAACCGACCAAAGGTGTACAGGTGTCTACGTACGAATAAAGGAAACGAAAGAAACCAAATAACTCGCTGGACTTTGCTTTTACCGGAACCGTATTGTACCCCTCTGAAATCTCATTTTAACCATCTTTACATGTTACACCCGTATTCGTATGTTCGCTTTCAACCTGCCAACTGACGTTCAAAGGTTCAGAACAATACGCTCTCGAGTCTCTTCATATTTCTAACGTTTAATTAAACCATGTACATTTAACGAACAACGACTGTGCGCTAATTAATTATACATCACGTTAAATGTGATTCCCGAATACTTTTCAGAAACAATCAAAAATATATCGTAAATGCGAACAAACAAATCCTTTAGCTATACGAGAATATAAATAAATAAATATAATACATATATATGTATTACATGTATATATATGTATATACATATATATTTTTCTTATTTATTTATTTATATTTATATATGTAAACAACAATTCCACGTTTCCTATATGGAATTTAGAGGTTCATTGCGCTCTCAAACAACTCCAACATCCTCTTCATCTCTTTACTGAAAGTTTTTAATAAAAAAAGAACACAATGTTAGTAGAAATAATGAAGAAAGCATGCACGTACAGATAAATGCTTCGATACTCGCATTTGTTCCGCTAACTTGTACACAGGTCCCATCGATTTCGATAATTCCTCGCATTTTGCCATCAACTGATACATCGATTTGATATTGTGATCCACCGCGTCGCATGTTTTACAAACAGCATCCCTATACGTTTCCAAGCAGCCAACGGTAAGCGCGGATGCCTGAGAACATTGCGACAAAATGATAAAATACTGAAAGGCGAAAGAAAAGGTAACGTTTAAATGGTCATTTACGCTGTGTAAAATAGCAGCCAAATTTTCCGTTAACGCATCCACAGAGGTGGCCACTTTTCTCGCTTCCATTTCTAATTCGTTCAATACGTTATGATCGAGAAGAGGCACCTGAGGTGTCAAGGCCTGCCTGTACAAGCAAGGAGTGGAACTGCGAGAACCTGGGAACGATGGGGTGTCGCCCTTTTTTGTCACAGGACTAGACAGCTTAATTTTGTTTTCTAAATCTTCCGCAACAAATAATACCATGTCGCCGTCTTGCATCACCGTCCCTTCTAATTGCAAATATCCCATTGCTTTGTGATAACTCGGCGGATCTATGTCTTCGTCTTCGATCGGGCTACTCTCTCTATTTCTTAAATTCAACTGATCCGGTCTGCTACCGATTCCGTTCATCTTTTCCAAGCTGCCATCCAAGAATTTTCTCCCATCGATATCCGGTGAATCGATCAGCGATCTCAACTCCGAAACAGGTGGGGACGATTGTGAGTCGAACGATATTTCCGAATAAGATGCTGTCATCTCGTGCAGCTGAAACGTCACGGGTTAATACCCTTAGTACCATATTCCGCAATTAATAATACTTCGTAAATATAAAAAAACTAAAATCTTTCCATAGGATTTAATAACTCTAACCTTACTCTGTCTTCATCGTAGTCGATAGCTGCATTTTTTTCGCTGCGCATTGTCGTTCCTTGTTTCGGATATGTTTCGCCTTCTTCCGAGTCCATATTTAACGTTTTACTTAACCACCGCTCCGGTACAAATCACGTCTTCCTTCCTTTATACCTTGATCAATCGTAATTGACACATGTAATTGACACTGTCAAAATTATCGATCCTTCAAGCTAGTTTTCATTGAAGCAACATTTCCTCCTCACATATCCTATTACAGATGCTATACGTTACGTACTTACTTATTTGCGCACTTACCTTTGCACACGGTGAAAACACACCCTTAGGCGAAGAATGCGGGAGCGTTGATAACAAATGTGTACACCGGTTTACCACGTCAATTTTCTTTTTCGATAATTCTCATACTCTGTTGCTGCTTCTATCGCTAAATCCTTTAAAAGTCTCTGTTGTTAATCGTCAAGTATCTGCCTCTTAATTTTTACATTTCTCTGCCAGTTCTATGTTCGGAAAAAATTGAAAAACGCTTAACAACTTTTCTTTCAATGTCGAATCATGTATTTTTTTATCGTTATATTCCTTTCGTCGATATTTGTCGATAAGTGCGATGAATTACACGATTCGTAGAATGTAAGAAAATGCATATCATTTCAATTGATTATCATTTGTATTACTTAGTATAACGACGTCTATAGAACGCTAGAAATTTGTTTTACAGTTGAAACGATATTAACAATATATCGAATCGTCCGAAAGTATTCCATCTCCATCGAGCATGATGCATTCTAAAGTGCCTATATTGTTTTTTATACTTATCGGTATTATTGTAGAATTCGTGTCTTCGCAAAATGACTTTTTTAACGAAGAGTTAATGTTAAAGCCATTACTAAGCAATCATGTTTACGCATATTTTCAATTTACTACTGTCTGGGAAACTACGAAAGACACAAAGTCATGTAAGTTGCGCGATTTAGAAGCATCTCTCTTTTTCTCTCTAATGGACAATATTTTTTTCGCTATTCTTTTATACAACTGCAAATTGACATTTTAGTTCAACATTCGCATTTGTTTCCAAGAGGACTCGGTGAAATTATAAGTCGTCATAATGTGGACGAATTACACCTTACGTTAACCAAAGGATTGTGGAATTACCAAAAATGGGGATATCCTTATTATAATGCTGCTCCTGGTGCTGAGATATCCACATGGTTTCACAAAGATGTCGATAAGTAAGATGCAGTAACTTTAAACTTGACAAATGGAACGTTACTTTATTTAACTGTTGTGCAAATAATTTTAACACAATTTTCTCATGTTGTCAACAGTGTCGACGATGAATGGAAAGGTTTAACAAATGCTCTAGCAGGCTTATTTTGTGCCTCCCTAAACTTTGTTAATCCTTCCAACAGTATGTCTCCAGAATTTACATTCCGACCCACAGGTGTGGTTGAGCATAGTGTCAATTCTAGTCATTTACGTTACTCGTCGTTACCAAGAGAAATAGTTTGCACTGAAAATTTAACTCCATTCAAAAAGTTACTGCCGTGTAACTCAAAGGTATGCACAGATAATAGAGTCTTATTTTCTCTTTGCGCAAATGTATATATATTGTCTTATATGATGTTCTTGTAGAAAGGATTAGCAACTTTATTGAACTCTGCTTATATTTACAACACAAATTATCATTCCATCGGAATACATTTTCGAGTTATATGCTCCAACACCCACTGTACCAAAACGTCCTTAGAATTAAGGCAATCTGTTTCATTGATATATGACACTGCAACAGATGCATCACAGGTAAATTTTTCACTAAGTGTCACCAAAAGTTCGTAGTATTTGTACAGTTCGTTTTGCAGAATTGGTCAATTCGGAAATTTTTTGAAATGGGGATCAGAGGAGCATGCCCTCTTGCTACATTAAGCAATGTATATATCGATGTATCCAGTAATAATACCAATCAGATTTACGAATTAATACCTGCTCCAAGTGTTCAAATCATCAGTCTTCGTGGAGGACAGTTAAATGAAATAGCAGTTTATGATATTAGATCTCATTCCACGAGAGGAATGTTTAATATCGGAGTTGTACATAACACCACTCATAAAGCTAGTTTAAATTATCCCTCAATTTTGTATGCCAACAGATATATTATTGGTGAGTATAACGAACGTGTAAGTTACAATAAATATATTGAAAGAAATACCAAGAAAATTCTGTCGTGCAGGATACGGGCAAGAAAGGGGTAGTTTAATAACGAAAATTTACAATAATTACTGGCAAACACTCGACATTGTTTTATTAGAAAATATTCCATGGTATTTGCCAGTATATTTACATTCTGTCACGATAACTTGTGGAGCAAAACGTATTGTACCACGTGAGTAATTGCATCCATAGTCAACGATTGTCTCATTTTCATGCCCCGCCCCCGAATTGTTTTTCAAAGTTGCTTTGATTCAATTCGACTAATGTTGTAGTGGTGCAGCGTTATTTACCAGGCAAGGAAAGGAAAAGCCCTTACTATCTGGAACTGATCTTACGCTTACCACCGCAGTCAATAACCAAATTCTCTATAGAAATGGATTACTCGTTTCTTAAGTGGCAAGAGTATCCCCCGGATGCTAATCATGGATTTTATATGGGCCCTGCTATAATCACTGCGTTACTTCCAATCGCAAGAAATTATACTGCGTTACCACTCGATGGAAGTACTATAACGTCAAGGTTGAAGTTAATTATGTTTTGTCCAATAATCGTACATGCACAACTCTTTAACTGGTGTTTTAATAAAGATGTAATGAAACTTTCAGTTTTAACGCTTCAAGAGAGGGATATGTGGTACAACTGAGAACTGAAACTATACTAATTAGTCTACCCACACCTGACTTTAGTATGCCGTACAACGTACTTTGTTTAGCGTGTACTGCAGTTGCCCTAGCATTTGGCCCACTCCACAACATTTCAACGAAAAGATTAGTTTTGAAACCAGTTGAAATGGATTGGAAGGAGATGATATTATCGTTTATAATGAATAGAATAGTGAAACCAAAGAAAAAACAAGAATAAAAAGTGCAACTTTCTTATATTTGGTTCTAAATATATACGCATTTTTAATTGAGATAAAAATTGTTAAAAGGCAAAAAAAAAAAAAAAAAGGAAACAAATGAAATCCAAACACAGTCACATTTCTACGAGAGGTACACAACAGAGAAACAAGATTGATCTATAAAAAAGAGAAATAAACGATTTCCATCTGTATTTTATTGTTTTTCCTCTCTCTTTTCTTTTCCCTTTGCAACAGTATATAATATATAAAAAATGCGCGTGCTTATCTGTTATACGGAAAACGTCGAAATCTGAACGTTTCCGGTACTCTACAGCTGCGACTGCTTTTTTCCTTCACTTTTTTAACCTTTCCTTTCAGTGGACTACAATGCACTGCACATAATAAAATGATATATGTAACTTTTTTTCTATATTTTATAATCGTACAAAATAGAAACAATAAATACTGTAACAGATGTAACGCATATACGACGGATTTTATGCACCAAATAACTGAAGTTTTACGGTGGTGGTCTAGGGATTGGGGATAAACTTGTACGTGTATTTAACATTGTACTGTGGTACTTGTTTGTACAATTTTCACTGTCATCGTTTAGAAGAATGGTATCTGGGAAACATTCGCTTTTCATTTCTGTTGGACAAATAATATGTGGTCTTACATGAAACTTATTGTTAGCCGAAGAAAGCGTTTGCAATAACGATTTCGTTACATCCTCGGTCGTACAATTCAACGGATTTCTATTTTCATCCGAAGATACACTAGTACATGGATTTTCTTCTTCATCCGAGGAGCAAAGATCAATTACCGTAATCGCGTCCTGTTTAACGCACATAGTTCCCTCCTTAGTCGATGTAATTACAACCGCCTCATTTTCTTCAGAAACGTTTTCATCATCTTCGAGAGCTGTCAAGTTTTCATTGTCAGCCTCACTGGTAACTATCTTCTCGTTTTCCTCCACCGTGTTTGTGTCATGTTCATCACTCGGAGCTTTCCGTTTCGATGAAACATTTGGTCTCGCATTCTCTTGACTTTCTATCATCGTTTCGTTGTTATCGACTGAAACATTCCGAACAAGACACTGATATTTTGGTGGGTCTCCTTTGTGGGCATTTATTTGTTCTGGAGTGAGCCGTGTCAGGAGAACGTAAACAGGTCGACAAACAACGTACAATAATTGCGATTGTATGCTCAACACTAAAAGAAAGAAACAACTCCTGTATTGAATGGATCTTGCATGTAAAACGCAATGCGGTCTTTGACCATCTCTGCTTTGTAAAGCCCGAAAAGAAAGAGAAAAAGAGAGGGTACACGTTTAAGCATCGAATACTCACTTGGTTTCCGTTTCACAGAATTTACAAATTTATATTGATGCACGTAATGACATGCTGACTTGTCCCGATTTGGCTTGTATGTAACGATCCATCTATCGTGATGAACTTCCGCCTCTAGCCACTTTGGTCTAGCCGAATTATTTAAAACAGGAGCGATAAGGTGTCTCTCTAGCCTCTCTAGCCTTTCTTGTTGCGTTTCTTCCGTCATTGCTTTTGATTTTTTGGCTAATAATACACCAGCAGGAGAAGAAAAAGGAATACTTGAACACCTCGTAAAATTGAGAGATCCGCGAACACGACGGGAGGTATGTGTACTGGTACTTTTATTGTTATTATTATTACTATTACTATTATTATTATTAACTGTAACGCTGTTGTTAGTTTCAAATGGTTTCAATTCTGATTTCACCGAATACAGTCTAAAATATTCCAAGAACTGGTTTTGCCTTAATTCAGGCTCCATAAACGTCAAGTCTGGTGTTGCGGGTCGTGAATTACGTTCGGCGTGTCTTTGCTCGCAACACACACGTTCGTGTTCCTATTGAATAGTATACAATTATCGTTAATTTCATTCATCCCTTTTATTATAATTAATGCAATACCTTCATCTTCTCTAGGCCTATAAATTCAGCATCACAATTGTCACATAAATAAATATCTCCTGTTGATGGCTGAACTATCATACTGGAATGTTCTTGTTGTTTCGATTTATTAGAGTAACAAGAAGTCACTCCGTTACAAGACAACAATTTTTTCCGCGGACTTTCATATCTTCTATCATAATTCTGCACAAAAAAAAAGGAAAAAAGGGAAGAAGAAAATCATCTGATCCTTTAGTGTATAAAATTCTTAAATTTCACAAACCAGCATGTAATTAAACTGTAACAACTAACCATATTTTCATTACGAAATGTGACTAATAACTTGCCGGTAGTTTTGTGGTACAAACTTGTCGTAGAATCCCAATTATTAACATATTCTAACTCTTCTTGCGGATATCGTGCAAGATACGAACAAAAGCGTAAAAGGTATTCACTTCTGTGGTAAGTGTAGCACCTGAACACTAATTTCTTCAAATTAGCCATCCAATTCTGAAGCATAGCGCCCGTTAAAAAATTAACCATTGAAATCAAATTGCACGTATAGTTGCTTTGCCACTTTATTAATTAACTTACATCGTTAATCCTTTTAGGTCTTATCAAGGGGTTTGAAAATTTAACTTCTTTCGGCCACCACCGTGGTTCAGTCATCACTTCGGTAGTATCATGATCTAGCGAGCATTGAACCATGAATGTTACGAAGCGTTCCAACTGTGTCTGAAATGAAACATTTGTAATAAGATTTAAATACATCTAATATATAAACATATATGTAAGAAAAGATATATTCGTACCACTGTAATCGTTTCCAATGATGTTGGGTGTCCATTGGCAAACAAAAGAGGAAGATTGGATACCACAGAACCTTCCTCGATGGGATTATTGTTCTTTGATTCCATGGTATCTGCATCAGCCATCATAGTTTCATTCGTTTCACTGGATAACCGGCTTTGAGGTAAAGGTACCCCGTATTCTTGTTCTTGCAGCGTCGAGTATCTCATGATTTCAAAGCTATCTGCATTATTTTTATTTAATGTAGATTCAAGGTATATTGCCCATTACAAAACTGTTTGTCAGTTCTGTTAATTCTGTATACAAAAGTATCCCCTCTTAAATGTTGTAGATTTTACATGTTTTGTGATACAAAATATCAATGGTCAACAATGATAGAAGTAGCACACTCTCTCTGTTAGGGAAGAGTATAAAAGGTATGCAAAGTGTTTAGATACAGAAATTGGAGAACAAAAGAAATCATGTTTCGAGTTCCTTGTCAATTTATTATACAAGTAAATATTACAGGTAATTATTTCTTTTAAACTATATGCAAATAAGTGAAACAGCTTGATAAGTTAACACCTTTACAAGATATTTATTACGTATATGTGTCCTATATTTTTGTAATCATGTATAAGGCATAATCGATAGTGGATCTATCTCAAGTATTGTGCAACATTACAAGTGTATCCCTGTGTATTAGAGGTTGTGTGGAAAAAGGGGGAACAAATGAATTTCAGCTATGCAAGTAATTAAGCAAAAGGTGAAAACAAAAGGAAGCATTACACAGATCAACTCATCATTTTCTATTTTATGTAATTTGCAAATAAAATGGAAAACTTGTTAGGTGTACTTTTTATGAAATGCACTAAAAGAATGGAAACAAAACAAAATGAATAGAAAATACATAGTGAAAAATGGAAAATGGTAATCACGTTTAAAAACGGAAGATAGGAAGTGTTGACGAACGATTGGCAATCATATACCTGTTCAATACCTTTCGAGACGATCGAACGACCTTTCTTGCCCCCTATTTTCAGACAGATGCTCCACTCGAACAAAAATCTTCGTGATCACCGATTTGTAATTCACAATTTACACGAAATTTGAAATACAACTGTTATAATAGCCACTTACTTAATCGGATAGTTTAAGGATAGAGATGCTATAATGGAAACACGTCTCTTATTTCCCTCGCAATATTTGTTATCAACTAAAAAGGATTTAAGACAAATATGGATTTAAACGTACAACCTACGTGCGTCTTTTACAAAAATTAATTCACTACGCAAGTGGATAGATATGCTGTAAATAGTAAAAATAATAACATCTCCTATTGAAAATCTAGTTTGTATCTCGTTCTATCGAAGTTCGAAGTTGGAAAGGCACGCGTAATACGAATTCACGTATGTATGTATACATGTACTGACAGTTCCCTTGTTGAACAGAATATCTAGCAACGATAGAGTACGGTATAGTTCAAGATGGCGGGACGAATCAGTTCGGTTCTTGCTAGCTTACGATCATTTGCAAACTACTGTACCTCCGATGCTATATATTCTTCTTTATACTCTGTATCCAATATTTTAGTGTTTCAGTTGTTTCTACGTTGATCATGACACGTCAACATCTAACATTTTCCTTTAATTAATAAATACAAAAGCAGCGACAACTGAATTCAAAAGAGTTCGAAGTTATGAAAATTCCCCGTTATTCAACCGTTCTTCTCTATCAGTCATGTCCAATTCCAAGTACTCGCTATTGCGCATGCGCTTCACTAGTAAAAATATTTTTCTACTTCGTTCAATTTTAACTTCTTCTTTTCACAAGCGATTAAACTAAGCGAAAAGAGAGAAATTTTCAAGCAGAAATTTATTCTCTATCCACTAAAATAATTGACACTGATATTAATTAAAGGAAGTGAAAAGTAAAAATTCAGTGAAAATACATATTAAGAGTTTTACCTTACCCGCTTGCTAAAAGCTATTGGGCGAATAAATTTTATGTAAAAAAATTCACAGCATAGAAATATGCTTTATGTTACATGAAAAATATATGCTTAAGTGATTGTGGGGAATTAGAAAAATATGCATATATATATATATAGAATGTTTCACAAATGAAAAGCATTTACAATGTGTGATGTTAATTTCTCATTTAGATTCGTAATGTGTATATCACTATTGTTCGATAATGTAACTGAACATATGAATAACCAATAATGATACCTTGAAAACCTCCTACCTCTGTCGTCCGGCGCTGACATCGCAATTTCTTGATGCAGTTGTACTCATAGGTGAAGTCCCCGTAGGTGCATGTGCTTTCGCGTATTGGCGAAACTTGTAAATTTGCGCTGGAAGATAAAAGTGGGACGTGTTAACACGTCTACTTGTGCACTTGTTAAGCATAAGATTTGGTTAATTTGACAATAGGTTAAAGGGCACACGCAATAATGAGTTTGTACAATTTCAAGAAAATTGCAGTTGTCCCTGCTGCAAAGGTTAGCAATTATACTTTTGATTTTCTATCTGTAATTATTCCGTTTAATCGAATAAATGTTTTGTTTTGTTTAGGACTTCATCGATATAATCTTGTCAAAGACTCAGCGTAAAACTCCAACTGTTATACATAAGAACTACAAAATCGCAAGAATACGCGCGTTTTACGTGCGTAAAGTGAAATTTACACAACAAAATTTTCACGACAGGCTGTCTCAAATTATACAAGAATTTCCCAAGTTAGACGATGTTCATCCATTTTATGCTGATTTAATGAACATCCTGTACGATAAGGATCATTATAAATTAGCTCTTGGTCAGATAAATATAGCAAGGCATTTAATTGACAAGTAAGTATATCGTACGAATTGTGATTGCCAAGTATCACTGTCTTTCTACAAACTATTCATGTATACTGTGCCAATAGCGTAGCAAAGGATTACGTTCGATTGATGAAGTACGGAGATTCATTATATCGATGTAAACAGTTGAAGAAAGCTGCTTTGGGTCGTATGGCAACAATCATGAAGAGGCAAGCTGCGAATTTAGCATATTTAGAGCAAGTTCGTCAACATTTAGCCCGTTTACCTAGCATAGATCCCTACACACGGACCATAATAATATGTGGTTTCCCAAATGTTGGTAAAAGTAGTTTCATAAACAAGGTAATTTCATTGGAGTAATTGTCATCATGTTTTACGCATACGCGTACGCATAAACGATCTAGTTATTCCACGTCTAGATCACCCGTGCCGATGTGGAGGTTCAACCGTACGCATTTACAACAAAGTCGTTATACGTTGGTCATACAGACTACAAATACTTGAGATGGCAGGTAATCGATACACCTGGAATTTTAGATCATCCGTTGGAAGACAGAAACGTGATAGAAATGCAGGCAATAACCGCACTCGCACATTTACGAGCTGCCGTACTTTACTTTTGCGATATATCGGAACAATGTGGTCATAATTTAGAAGAACAGGTAAACGACGAGTTTGGCTGAGTTGGTTGTCTGCCTTGGTACATCTGGTTTTATCTGTTAGGTGAAACTATTCGAATCGATTAAACCTTTGTTTGCTAATAAACCTTTAACGGTTGTGGTAAACAAAGTGGATGTTTTACGTTTGGAAGAAGTTTCGGCTGAGAAACGAACACTGTTGAAATCGTTGGAGGATAATGATGTGCCTGTGTTAGAAATGAGTACGATAACGGACTTTGGAGTAATGGACGTTAAAATACAAGCGTGTGAACGTCTGTTAGCTTTCCGAGTGGATCAAAAGATGAGAACGAAAAAGGTATGGTTTTGAAGTATTTCAAATAAAATTTCAGCCCGATGATTGTTATAATTTTCGGACATTTATGTTTACCGTAGGTAGAGGGACTGCTGAATCGTTTGCACGTTGCGCAACCGACACCGAGGGATGAAAAAGTTCGCGCTCCTTGTATTCCAGAGAGCGTTTTGAAAAAGAGACAAGATATGGAAACAGCATTGAAGTCGAAGCGAAAACTGGAACGAGAAATAGAGGAAGAAATGGGAGACGATTACATGCTCGATTTGAAGAAGAACTACGACATCGAGGGCGAGCAGAAGTACGATATAATTCCTGAGATTTGGGAAGGACACAATATCGCTGATTACATCGATCCAGATATATTCGATGTTTGTATTTTATTCGTTGCCTTTATTCGTAGATCAGTATGCTTTATTTGAACGTAACCTTAATCTTTTGTTTCGTTTGGATAGAAATTAAATAAACTGGAAAGGGAAGAACAGCTTCGAGAAGAGGCGGGAATGTACGATTACAAGGTGCCGGAATTGTCCGAGACGATGCGGGATATCGTAGAATTGGCTAAGCAAATTCGAGAAAAGAAAGCTATAATGAAAGACGAAGCCCGGATACTGAAGGCTTCCACGAAACCTGCGCTACCGCGTACAGCACTGGCTAAGGTTCGAGATAGATCGGTATCGCAGTTGAAAGAACAAATGGAAGAGTTAGGTGTCGATATGGAAGATAGTGAAAACGTGAGTAACGTTTGTCAATCTATAATTTGTCATGTATAATCTGGGTGTAAATGGGCAAAGAAGGGGGGAAACGGTATAACATTGGTATGTACTTATAATATGTTTTCTTGATGTTTGCGACAGGCGCATTTCACGAAAACTAGGGGACGTGCGAGATCGTTGTCGCAACCCGCTAGGAAACGCATGAGAATGGATTCCGTGTCTCAGTCGAGAGCTCGAAGCAGCTCGAGACCAGCGCGCGACGATATGGGCGTGAAAGATGACGCGATGAAAACGAAATTAAAGAACATTGCGCACAAAGCTTTAAAGAAAAAGATAGCGAGAAAGGGGTTAAAAGGAGAAGCGGATCGATTCATCGGGACGAAAATGCCAAGGCACTTGTTCTCAGGGAAACGAGGCGTCGGCAAAACAGACAGAAGATAATAATATTTACAAATTATTGCTTTCTCAAATATTTTTATGATTGTATTTGTATCGAGA